TACTAATCATGAGCAACGAAAAAAATGCTTATGCATAAGCATTTTTTTCGTTTCTTAAATAGTTTTTCATATCTTTTGGGTTTTTACAACTTCGGGACCGTCCTGTCCTCCTCTAGTGTGTTATCTTAATTTGTTTATTGTTTTATCTATTGTATGTGATAAGTAAAAAGGTAGCATGAGTCAAAATTATGTCAAAAAACCCTCCGCTTGTTAACACATAATTTTGACTTACGTTTTTACTTACCACATACAATAGATAAAACAATAAACAAATTAAGATAACACACTAGAGGAGGACAGGACAGTCCCGAAGTTGTAAAAACCCAAAAGATATGAAAAACTATTTAAGAAACGAAAAAAATGCTTATGATTAGTATTTCAAGAACACAAGTAAAATATGCAGTACTACACATGCACTTTGCTCTTCTTGTTGATTCACAGTCTTGTTGGTATTGTTGATGGTGAGAAATCATTAAAACTCGATATCTATCCGGGTTATGGATGGGATCATCTACGATTATTGATTAAGGACATACAGAAGAAACGGCGTGTCTTCGCTCCTACACTAGGCCTGTAAAAGTTCACTTTTCGTTCGTCGAACGTGAACTTTACTTATACTGTTATAGCACAACTGGCCAACTTAGTAAAACTTTATACGGCAGTTCGCGTTACACGTCTATCAACTGAGCAGTTTTTCCACTGTCAGTTATGCTCAACAACAAGATAAATGTGCCAGGCGTGCATTAAAATAAGGCTTCCTTCAAAAAACATTGCTTATATTTTTAACATGCAGTTAGAGCCGCGTTTGCCGGAAAATAGAGACAAAACGTTTTTATGGATTGATACCGTTTTTCACAGAATCGTATGTTTACTTCAGAGAATGACGAACACTTAGTAGGCCTGCTATTGTTCACTGTTCCTTTTTAGCATTTTCCTTGAACGTGAAGGCTAAAGCACATTACTGACAGTGTTCGTATCACATGAGGTAAACGTAAGATTCGGTGAGAGAGATAAGTGTATCAATCCATATAAAGCATTTCTTCTCTGTTTTCCGACATACGTGGTTCTAACTGCCTATTAAAAAGAGATATGGTGTATTTTGAAGAAAGCGTGCTTGGAACATGCATTTTTCGTCGAACATAACTGGGAATGGAAAGGACGTTCACTGGAATACTCGTATTCATGTTCAAGAAACGTCAACGTTTCTTAGCTTTCACGTTCAAAGAAAACGCTAATATGGAACGGTGAACGTTTGCAGGCCTACCCTGTACTAATCATTAGTACGCTCTAAATGGAGAAAGCCTTGCGACTTCTTGAAATGAATCCAGTTTATGACGTTTCAAATTTTAATGATTCAGATGTGTTTCAATCATGCATTGAAATGCTACCCATTCGGCAAAGTAAAATTGATCTTGAATCGGATATTGTTGATTTGTATGACTCTCGATCAATTGACTATGCATCTAAATATGTGATGGAAGGAAGTCTCAACTTTGAAAAGTTTAAACTTGGTGGATCATACGAATCAAATTATCAAAAAATAAAAAAACAACAAAGTCATGACCGAACAATTGCTATTCGAAACGAGTTGAGTATTTTGGTGGCCGATGTTATACTGTCAAGTAGTTGTCCGTTAAATTATCAAGCAAAAAAGGATCTGATAGAAATTGCAAAGTATTCTCAAAATCAACCATTATCAGCAAGTTATGCAGCACAAATGTTTATCAGAAAATATGGTACACATTTTACAAGTCGAATACAATTGGGTGGTACGATTGTAGAAGAGGATTTTTTTCTAATATCCGATTTCAACTCAACCGAAACTGTTGTTCGCCAACAAAAAGCAGCAGCGGAAGCCTCATTTTTAAAGACATTTAAACTGATAAATTGTTCATTTATTATATCACGGAACAGAAACACAAGGGAAAATATAGAACGTAGATGATCAGTGAGGTAATAAAAAAACTTGAGCAAACTACAATTTCACTTCAAAATACACAGAGGATCAGATAGAAGTGTATATGAGGAATATTACGCACAAAATTGTTAATGCAAAAGGTGGAACTGGTTTTACTTTAGGTATGTCATTAGATACTTGGCAAAGGAACAATCAAAAAATATCCAGTTGTTGTTCGTCGAATGATAGAAAATATGACTTATTTTGTCCGATCGGATCATTACCAGAATTGAGTCAATTAGAATTATGGCGTGTTCGACGCCAGTTGAATGACGCAGTTAATACCTACGTCGAAATGAATGTTGTTAGTGGATGTATGGCACGCGAATCACTATCATTCAATTGGATTGCAAATGTAGCGGACGATTCGTGTCTGTCAGCCAAAACGAATGCGAAATTTGGTGGCAAATTTGGTGGTCATTCAAAATTCTATTATACAAATAACTAACATCTTGTTTTTCTGTCTTCTTTTTACTTTCAGATATTTGCGAGTTTGACAGGAATTAAGTATCTGTTTGAAAAGTAGCGGGCAACGAGAGTAAAGGCATCAGCAGTAGAGTATCCGATACTATGCTTTTTTAGAAAACTGAAAGATCTAGAAGAAGCAGTGCTTAGGAATGAAAACTTCTACTATCGACTCTACATGCCATTTTTCTTGTTCAGCCCAAAGCTGATGACCATATGTCAAAACTACATCGACGCCATGTTAGAAGAGCCCACAAACGTTGCCAGAAAAATTGTAGTTTTCGAACAGCCTGTAACAAATGTCGGAATTTTTTATATATATATGTCATGATTAAATTTTAATATAACGGTACGTTTTTCTGTCTTTTCTTTTCATCCAGCTATAACTTTAATAGACAGGCTGTGAGAAATTTTTGAGTCCACCTTCAGAAAATACAGTACAGATTTAAGAATATCCTATCTTTCTTTGGGATTTAAGTTGCCTTTTTTTGTTGAGTAAATTTCCTTTATTTGGATTCAATCACCTTTTTTTGAATGTATTGTAGGAGATTAGACGATGTTAACAACAGTTTTTCTGCCTGAATCAGTGTTTTCTGCGTAGTTAGTTGTACTATAAATTGGTTTTCTGCAGTGTTGCTTTAAATTGAAAAGCAAAATGCGTGCATACATATTTGCTGAGAGAGGAGTGTAAGTAAGAATTCCTGTATTGACTCTTTTCGTAAATAGAGATGCCAGTTGATTTTTCATATTTAGTGAGACACACTTTGTTTTGTATTTTCATGAAAGATAGATTTAGCGAACTGTAAAAAACAAACTTCGAAACTTACTTTTCTTTGCGTCTAACAAAATAGAGAGATCTTTGACTTTCGAGATAGATACACTGTTTAAGATGACAAGGTTTTCATTCCCAAAAGATCTTATAGCTTATGAACTTAAAGTGTAAAGCTTCAGTTGTATATATAGTAGCAGCTTCACAAGATGAAGTTCACATATTTACCTATCAAATCTTGTGTAACATCATTAGTTTCGTGTGATTGACCAGGTTCATTAGACTAGAATGTAAGAAATACAGTTAAGTTTTCTCTCACTAAGGATTTTTTAAATCGAACAATTAAAATACCCACTGCTTCCCCAGGCATTTGCGAATGATGAGATTCTTCAGAAAAGATGTATGAAGATAACACACTAGAGGAGGACAGGACGGTCCCGAAGTTGTAAAAACCCAAAAGATATGAAAAACTATTTAAGAAACGAAAAAAATGCTTATGCATAAGCATTTTTTTCGTTGCTCATGATTAGTA